GGACGAGAGGGCATCTCGCCACCCTAGAGAGGTTTTCCCAGGAGTCTTTTTGTATCAGACTGGAAAGACCACCAGGCTGGTAAACCTGGGTGCCAGGAGACGTGGTGGGGGAGGCGTAACAGGAAGTAGGAGTCTGATTAGTGCGCCTCAGCTCTGGCCTAACCCCCCTATAAAAGAAGGTAAGGCTTCTCCTCACAATGGAAGCACCAACACACACAATGAAAGTGTGGTAAAGTCTTCTAACAAGGCAGCAGGGGCAAAACAGCCAGAGAAAAGCAAAAGCAAAGGAGAGCACCGGGATTTAAAGACTACTATCATGGCCGACCCACCCAGTAAAGAACACCACCTAATCGAACCGTCCTCTCACCGCGGTCCCCCTCATCCCTCTGTTGCCCCACCAAGATTAAACTTTACAGACAACACAATCCAAGGTCAATCACGGGTTACTTCTTACCTGCGAACCTCAGAGATTACAGAGTCCCAGCAGCAGCCAGACCCCAACCCTCCAGATATCGACCAAGATGCAAACCACTCTAATCCTGATCCCGACCCCGAGCCAGAGCCAGAGGAGGGTGAAATGTCCGATTACAGCTACGAGGAGGTGGAGGCTCGGCCGGGTTGGGCAGAGGAGAGCATTAACTGGCAGAGGACTTTCTCAGTCAATCCGATGGACTTTGAGCTTCTGCGCTCTGACTGGAATGACTTGCGCTGTAATGTGTCTGGGAACCTGCAGCTAGCAGAGAGCGAGGTGGTGGACGTGCTGGCGCAGTACATGGAGAAACTCAATGAGCGCAATGGGGGGTAAGCATGGCGAAATGAAATAAAACAGAGAAGGTCTATGTTTCCCTGCGTCCTTGTTAGTTTCGGCGCGGTGCTTATGCAAATCGTTATATTAAGCAAAAGGTAATTTTGCTGCAACATATTGCTCATGTCCTGGTGCTTTGAAGTCTTGCTCTCAGTCTTCAGTATGCTGATTACAATTTTCTTCAGTAGTGCTTGCAAACCTCGATGTTATTTGTGTGAAGTAGCTTCTCTGTTGTTATTTTCATCATCCGTGCTAAATTCAATGCGCCGCAGATAATGAGAATCAGCTTTTTTGAAGTGGTTTGTACACACAAACAATAATTAATCCACTTGTGCCAATGATGTAAAACGTTGCGTTCTATATGTGCAACCTCTCTGTGTATTTTCAATATTTTCTGTCTGTCTGCTCTAGGATCTACACCCTGTTGCGAATTATCAACGTTGAAAAGCGGCGCGACTCGGCAAGAGGGAACCGGTACCTCGTGGAGCTGGAGCTTATGGAGAGAGGACGTAGCGTGGTGCGCCTTTCAGAATATATTTACCTGCTGCTACACCGCAGCAAGCAGGGGGAGGAAAGTTTAGAGAACACAGACTCTGTCCCTGCCTCAGCGCCGGTTTCGGCCCTTTCCACTGCCACTCCCAGCCTCACCACCCCACCGCCGCCTCCTCCTCCCACCAAGTCGTCTGGCCGAGCAGCAGCAACACCCTGGAGCACTGCATATGCTAAGCCCCTGCTATGCCAGCCGGTCATGCTCCAATGGAGGAAAGATGTCATGGTACACTTTGTGGTCCCAGGTGAGTCAAAAGTTAATCCAGGTCAGATTCAGCATCCTTCAGATGAATAATTTATTTGCCTATACTTTCTTTGTTTTCTCAACTCGCTGTCCTTTTGCCTTTGGTATTGCTGTTCTTCAGTAAAAAACCAGGCTCGCTGGGTGCAGCAGTTCATCTCTGACATGGAGAATCTGCACCGGCAGACAAAGGATGACAATTTCAGCATCATCATTGTGGATTTTGAGAGCGAAGATATGGACGTGGAGCAGGC